GGGGCTGGGGATTTAGCTCAGTGGCAAAAGCGCCTGCCTGGCAAGCGCAAGGTCGTGAGTTCAGTTCCCGGTACCGGAGAAAAACCAAAAAAAGACCCTGTCTCAAAAAGACCAAAAAAAAAAAAGAACAAAAAAACAAAAAAAAAAAAAAAAAAAAAAAAAAAAAATAAAGGGTTTCTGAACTAGTCCAGGTAAGAGCAGAAATCACCAACTGATCTGATGGTAGCCCCCATCGCCCTTACTCTTTCTCTTCCCCCAAACATCTCTTCACCAGACAGCAGCCCTACTACTGAAGACAAAACCAGACATCTTCCTTTCCCCCTCAAGCCTCCTCCCAACTACCTGTCAACCTCCTGTCAAATCCTTTTATTCCTCCTCCACAATAAATCTCACATTTTCATTACTTTGCCCACTATCACCCTCGTCCCAGTACCTATCCTCTCTCATAACTAGCTCCCAAACTAGCTTGGGACCTCCAGAAAGGGCCCGGACCATTGTTCCTTCAATCTCATCTATTTTCTCATATTTCATAAAATTTTTATTTTTTTTCAATAATGACCTTCTTTCCTTTTTCCCAGAATTCTGTCATCTCATTAATTATTCCTTTATTGCCATTGCTATGATTTTTATTAGACTTAGGAAGGTGTTCCTCTAAGATTATTTAATATACTCATACTTTTAGCCAGTGCAATTAGATAAAAAAAGAAATCCAAATTGGAGAGTGTTAAATTATCTGTTGATAATATAATAAATATTTTAAAAACTTAACGACTAATACAGAACTTTTAGGACCAATGAATGAATTCAATAAAATTAAAGGATACAAAAATCAACATAATAAAAAAAAATCACTTCCATTTTTATCAGTAAAACCAAACTATCTAAAAAGTAGGTCCAGGGTATAGCTCAGGTAGAGCACTTATCTAGCATGGAGGGGGCCTTGGGTTTGATTAGATAATAGGATAGTTTGATTAGATAATAGGATAGTCTTGGGGCCTTAGCACTGCAAAAAATATAATAAATTAAAATGTTTTGGAATAAACTTAAACAAGGAACTGAAATCTATAAGATGCTCATGAAATAAAATGAAAAAAATAGAAAGATACCCATGTTTGTGGACTTTACGAATTAATACTGTGAAAATGTTCATACTACCCAAAGTGATCTACAAATTCAATGCAATCTCACCAAAATTCCAATGGCACTTCACACAGAAATAGAAAAAAAATCTTACAATCCATACAGAGGCACAAAAGATCCCAAACAGTCAAAGTGAGCTGGCAGTCCCTTACTTATTGTGGTACTGGGGAGCAAACCCAGGTGAGCTCTACCTCTGAGGACATCCCTCTTTTATGTTTCACCTTGAGACAGGATCTCACTAAATTGCCAAGGCTGTCTTAGAACTTGCCATAATCCTGTGTCAGCCTCCCAAAGTGCTGGGACTACAGGCATCAGCCATTACATCTGGTTACCAAAGCAATGTTAGAAACAAAACTGGAGTCAGGCGTGGTAGCACATGCCTGCAATCCCAGCACTTTGGGAGGGTGAGACAGGAGGTGTACCGCCAGTTAGAGGCCAGCCTGGACTACATACTGAATTCAAGGCCTGCCTAGAATATACAGTGAGACCCTGTTTCAAATGAACCCAACCCAACCCAACCCAACCCAAAGCTGAAGGCATCACATTCCCTCCCCTGCTCTCTAACTACCTTACAAAGCCGTGGACTTTGCAATCAAAACAGCCTAATGTTGGCATAAAAACAGACATGGACCAAGGGAACAGAATAGAGAACCCAGAAATAAACCCATGCACATAGGTCAGCTATGATCTGAATAATTTTTGACAAAAATGTCTCTTCAGTAAATAGTGCTAGAAAAAACAGGAAATCCATACACAAGAGTGAAACTGGACTTTTTTTTTTTTTAAATTTTAGAAATAAAAGGAGGAAAATACTAACAGACCGACAACATTTTACAAAATAGCAAAGGATCAGTACAGACATTACAGAGTTACAAACAGAGTGGTAGGGAATTAACAATGCTTATTGTATTACATATTGATATCTTCAATGTAGTTTCTCATGAAAACACATATAGACATACAAAGCTAATCAACCAGTGCCTCACTGACAGTTTCTTTCAGCAAGGAAATACAAGACAGTAGAACAGCCGTGTTAACTATCCTGCATATACATATATACAAACTTTCTCCTTCTTTCCCTTCTCTTTTCCCATATCCCAGTTATCCTTTACCTATAAGTGTTTTCCTATCAATTCACAATGTCTATCATATCTCCTAGTTTAAATTAACTCTTTCAGGCTTTACACTAGAGAAACAATGCGGTGCTTGCACATGTATGTTTGATTTATCTCACTTATGAGTATGGTCTCTAGTTGTGACCATTTGCCTATAAAAGCCTCAAGTTTATCTTTCTTTACAGCTGAGTAATACTCCATTATATAAAAGTACCACAATTTTCTTATCCAATCCTCAGTGGATGGACATTTGGGTTGCTTCCACATTTTAGCAATTACAAATTGTGCTGCTATGAACATAGGTGCACATACATCACTGTGATATGATGTTTTTAGATCTTCTGGGAAAATACCAAGCAGGAGGGTAGCTGGGTTGAATGGGACCTCTAGGCCTAGTTTTCTGAGGAATCTCCAAACTGATTTCCACGAAACTGGACTTTTTTTAACACTGTAAATAAAAATTAACTCAAAATGAATTACTGAAATTAAATTCAAAATGAATTACTTGAATGTAAACTCTGAAATGATAAAACTCCTCAAAAATAGGTAAAAATTCCTTACCATTGGCCTTAGTGATGATTATTAATATAACACCAAAGAGGCTGGGGATGTGGCTCAGTGGTAGAGCTCTTGCTTTCTTTGCACAAGGCCCTGGATTCGATCCCCAGCCCCACAAAAAAAAAAAAAGGAAACACCATAAGCACAACCAAAAACAAAAATAAATAAATGACACTACATAAAACTGAAAAGCTTCTACATAGCAAAGGAAACAATCAACAAAATGACACCTATAGACTGAAAACATTTTTACAAGACATACATATCTGATAAGGAACTAATATCCAAGATATATAAGGAGCTCAAACACTAATAGAAAAAATTAAAAAGTGGGCAAAGGACCTGAACAGGTATTTTTCCAAAGACAATATACAAAAAGACAACAGGTATATATGAAGGTGCTTGGCATTACTAATCACCAAAGATGCAAATAACTAATCACCAAAGATGATTAGCATTACTAATCACCAAAGATGCAAAGAGCTATCACCTCACATCTGTTCGGATGACTTAGCAAAAGGACAAGACAGC